CCGTACACATCCAAGAATTTACCGTCTGGTGAGCACTCCCTTTGTCGCCATCACAGAGGTAACAGTCAAGGACCACAATAAGGTCCACCTACACTACATTTCAACCTCGGATCTGCTTGTTTGAAGGAAAAGTCATGTTATGGTAGATCCATCTGAGACAACTTTCACTTCTCCCATTCCGCCGTTATCACCCGCACATCAGGCATTAGTCATCTGGTGGAATGGTTCGGCTTTTATCATTGATACCACTGGAAGGATTATGATGATTCTGGGTAGGTAGGTTATGGAGAGAAGACCTTTTTTAGCATGGGTGCACATTCCCAAAAAAATGGCCAGCTTCTTTAGCAGCCATTGCCAGATAGGAAGCTGTCATAGATAGTGATGGTGGGAATCAGGGGCGGAATGACCATTTGAGCACTCGGGCACTGCCCGAGGGCCCGGGGTCAGTAGTGGGCCCCATGAAATGCCTCCAGTACCTTTTTTTATAGGCTTTTTTTTTTAGTGTGGACAAGGACACAGGGGCTCCATGATCCTCTATTGCCCGGGGGCCCCATGAGTTGTCAGTCCCCCCCTGGTGGGAATAACGCTTTTATACACTGCTCAAAAAAAAAATGAAAGGAAGACTTTGTAATCCAAGTCTAGCAGCAAGTCAATGACACTCCTGGGATATGGGTCTGGTCAGGCAAGTCGCAGAGGGGGTTGTTCATCAGTTTCAGCTGCTTTGGTGGTAATGAAATGAACAACAGGTGCTCTAGATGGGCAACAATGAGACGACCCCCAAATAAGAAATGGATTTACAGGTGGAGGCCACTGACATTTTTTCCCTCCTCATCTTTTATGTCTGTCTTTCACTAGTTTTGCATTTGGCTAGGGTCAGTGTCACTACTGGTAGCATGAGGCCATACCTGGACCCTACAGAGGTTGCACAGTCAGTCCAACTCCTCCAGGATGGCACATCAATATGCCATTGCCAGAAGGTGTGCTGTGTCTCCCAGCACAGTCTCAAGAGCATGGAGGAGATTCCAGGAGACAAGATCACAGAGGAGATTCCAGGAGACAAGAGCACGGAGGAGATTCCAGGAGACAAGAGCATGGAGAAGATTCCAGGAGACAAGAGCATGGAGAAGATTCCAGGAGACAGGCAGTTCCTCTAGGAGGGCTGGACAGGGCCTTAGAAGGTCCTTAACCCATCAGCAGGACCGGTATCTGCTCCTTTGTACAAGGAGGAACAGGATGAGCCCTGCCAGAGCCCTACAAAATGAACTCCAGCAGGCCACTGGTGGGAATGTCTCTGACCAAACAATCAGAAACCGACTTCATGAGGGTGGCCTGAGGGCCCGACATCCTCTAGTGGGCCCTGTGCTCGGCAACATAGAGCTCGAATGGCATTTGCCATTGGACCCCAAAATTGGCAGGTCCACCACTGGCGCCCTGTGCTTCTCACAAATTAGAGCAGGTTCCCCCTGAGGACATCTGACAGACGTGAAAGAGTCTGGAGAAGCCGTGGAGAACGTTCTGCTGCCTGTAACATGGTTCAACATTACCGTTTTGGTGGTGGGTCAGTGATGGTCTGGGGAGGCATATCCATGGAGGGACACACAGACCTCTACAGGCTAGACAATGACACCCTGACTGCCATTAGGTATCAGGATGAAATCCTTGGACCCATTATCAGATCCTACGCTGGTGCAGTGGGTCCTGGGTTCCTTGGTGCAGGGAGTCCTGGGTTCCTCCTGGTGCAGGGGGTCCTGGGTTCCTCCTGGTGCACGATGATGCCCGGCCTCATGTGGGGAGAGTATACAGGCAGTTCCTGGAGGATGAAGAAATTGATACCACTGAATGTCCCCTACGCTCGCGTGACCCAAATCCAATAGAACACCTCCGGGATGTCATATTTCAGTCCAACCGACGCTGCCAGGTTGCACCTCAAACTGTCCAGGAGCTCAGTGATGCCCGGTCCAGATCTGGGAGAACATACCCCAGGACACCATCCACGGTCTCAGTGGGAGCCTCCCCCGATGTTGTCAGGCATGCATACAAGCACGTGGGGGCCACACACACTACTGAGGACCATTCTGAGTTGCTGCAATGACATTTCAGAAAAATGGACTCTCCTTCGGCATCATTTCCTCACTTTGATTTTTATAGTCTTTGAATTTAGCCCTCTGTAGGTCGATCATTTTCATTTCCAACAAATGATGGGGCGTCCTTATGTTCCTCACACATCACCCCGTCCATATCAGTATAGAGATCCAGCAAAAGATTCCTCCTCATTGAGATCTGATGGGTTTTCGAAGTCTTCCTTTCATTTTTTTGAGCTGTGTATAGAAGTTCAGCTCCCGTTGAACAGACATAAAGTCCAAAGTTCAGATGAACACATAAAATAGTTGAAGTTCGCTTCAAAATTGTGTTTGAACTGAACCTTGAACTCATCCCTCTTAGCCACAAGTTATCCCTGTTCAGGAAGCCTCGACAACAGCTAGTCTGTCTTCACTGACAGGGTGAAGCCTGTCCAATCAGTAACAGAAATGGTTAAAGCACAAGAGTTTGGGGCCATTAGGGTCTGACAGATTCCAGATGGAGACTGGACTAAAGGAAGGAAAGGAACAGTGTTATTCTGAAGTGTAACGGATTACAACTACTCAGTAATGTAAGTCTTGGCATTCTCCACCCAGGAGGAGCATGGTACTGCTGGCCCCAGGCTCATTGTAGTACTCCCGTATGGATGTTGGGAGAAGAGCATCAATAATGGACAATATGGCTGACTAAGAGAGAACAGTTTGGAAGTAATATATTTTAGACTGGACCTAAAGGCCGTATAACATCTCCAGTATTAGAGTTCTGAACATTTAATAATTCATGATGCAAAGGGTCTAATCTGCAGATTGACTATTACGTTCCAATAAAACCTTCCATTACTTTTGCTTCACTTCAAGGTCTGGACATTAATTTTCATCAACATCGCATCCATAATGGTACTGGTGAGGAGAGGATGAATTTGCAGGGTGTAATGAATGTGTCTATGTGGGCCTGCTTTATGAAGAGCAAGGATGAAACAAGTAAGCAAGACTGACTGATGTGGTGAAACAAACTCTGGTGCCTTGAGGAGCTGTCTTTGGATTGTCCTTTGTGTCCCCTGAATGTGACTTGAGGAGCTGTCTTTGGATTGTCCTTTGTGTCCCCTGAATGTGACTTGAGGAGCTGTCTTTGGATTGTCCTTTGTGTCCCCTGAATGTGACTTGAGGAGCTGTCTTTGGATTGTCCTTTGTGTCCCCTAAATGTGACTTGAGGAGTTGTCTTTGGACTGTCCTCTGTGTCTTCTGAATGTGATTTAGGGAGCTTCTTTGGACTTTCCCCTGTGCCCTCAGAATATGACACGAGGAGCTGTTTTTGTATTATTCTCTGTATCCCCTGAATGAGAGTTGAGGAGCTGTCTTTGGACTGTCCTCTGTGTCCACTTACTGTGAGTTGAGGAGCTGTCTTTGGACTATCCTCTGTGCTCTTAGAATATGACATGAGGAGCTGTCTTTGGACTGTCCTCTGTGTCTTCTGAATGTGATCTAGGGAGCTTCTTTGGACTTTCCCGTGCCCTCAGAATATGACACGAGGAGCTATTTTTGTGTTATTCTCTGTATCCCCTGAATGAGTGTTGAGGAGCTGTCTTTGGACTGTCCTCTGTGTCCACTTACTGTGAGTTGAGGAGCTGTCTTTGGACTGTCCTCTGTGTCCACTTACTGTGAGTTGAGGAGCTGTCTTTGGACTGTCCTCTGTGCTCTCAGAATATGACATGAGGAGCTGTCTTTGGACTGTCCTCTGTGTCCACTGAACGTGAGTTGAGGAGCTGTCTTTGTATTATTCTCTGTATCCCCTGAACACGAGCTGAGGAACTATCTCTGAACTGTCCTTTGTGTCCACTGAACATGAGTTCAAGAACTGTCTTTGGACTGTCTTGTGTCCATTGAGTGTGAGTTGAGGAGCTGTCTTTGGACTGTCCTCTCTTTCCCCCTGAATGTGAGTTGAGGTACAGTCTTTGGACTTTGCTCTGTGTCCACTTAACGTGAGTTTGAGGAGCAGTCTTTAAACTGTCCTAGGTATTCCCTGAATGTGACTTGAAAAGCTATCTCAGGACTGTCCTCTCTGTCCCCTTGAATGTGAGTTGAGGAGCTGTCTTTGGACTGTCCTCCGTGTCCACTGAACGTGAGTTGAGGAGCTATCTTTGGATTATCCTCTGTATCCCTTGAATGTGAGTTGCCTCTGATAGAACTTTAGATGGTCCTATGTGTTTCCTGAAAGTTGTGGAGTTGTCCTTAGATTATCCTAGATTGTAAGCTCGAAAGAGCAGGGCCCTCGATCCCCTCATGTTTTGCATTGTATTGGTATTGTTCTGTCACATGTTCTGTCCCCCTTTGTAATGTACAGCGCTGAGCGAACTATTGGCGCTTTATAAATACTGTATAATAATAATAATCCTCTGTATTCCCTAAATGTGGCCTGAGGAGCTGCCCTTAAACTGTCCTTTGTGGGGTTTTTTGTTAATGTGATTCAAGGAACTGTCTTTGGACTGTCCATTGTGCCTTCTGAATGTGACTTGGGAGTGGTCTTAAAAATGTCCGGAGTCCTCAGAAATGTGGATATGACTCAGCACTAAAAACCAGATATCAAGTACAATATTTCTAAATCTATCTGCACAAATCTCCTGGTCACATTGGATAAACTCCTCTACAGTTTATAAAGGCTGAAAATGTACAAGCTGGTAAAATTCAAGAAGCTGAACAAGAGTCCAATAAATGACACCTAAACCTTGAAGGCCGTCCTTTAACTGCACTGCAGGGGGTGAGTCCCTTCCTATCAATGGGAAGTGATGTATGAAACAGAAAATAATCTCCTATCAGTAAAGGCATCATTCACTTCTGTATTTATGTTGGTGCCGAGTTCAGTGATTATAGGACCTTCCAGTGGTCCTTATCATATTCTCCCAGCAAAATAAGCTGTGCACAACCTTATCCTGTAGGGGGAGCTCTCTTCCATGGCTTTACAGAAAGACTCACCAGCAGGAAGCAGGCGCCTAGTAACACTGCTTTCATCTTCACATCCAGGTCCTTCGGGAACTGGATCCCAAAATTATCTGCATCTGTGAAGATTTCCTTAGGTAGTCCGGTCCACTGCTTACTGATCCGACCCACACTGCGAGACTCACATAGAGGCTTCACCTGAGACACAGAGAGGACGAGAGTGAGAGGAGGCTGAGGGGAGAAGAGAGAGGGGAGAGGGAAAAGAGAGAAGAGGCTGAGGGGAGGAAAAGAGAGAGAGCGGAGAAGAGAGAGAAGGTTGAGGGGAGGAGAAGAGAGAGAGAGTGGAGAAGAGAGAGGGGAGAGGGAGAAGAGAGAGGGGAGAGGGAGAAGAGAGAGGAGGCTGAGGAGAGGAGAAGAGAGAGGGAGAAGAGAGAGGAGGCTGAGGGGAGGAGAAGAGAGAAGGGAGAGGGAGAAGAAAAAAGAGAGACAGAGAGCAGAGAGACGGGGAGAGGGAGAAGAGAGGGGAGAAGAGAGAGAGAGAAGAGAGAGAGGAGAGGTATATAGAGGGGAGGAAAGGGAGAGGTATATAGAGGGGAGGAAAGGGAGAGGGAAAGAGAGAGGGGGGGGAGAGAAGGAAAGAGGAGAAGAGGAGAAAGAGAGAGGAGAGGAGGCTGAGAAGAGAGAGGGAGAGAGAAGAGGGGAGGGGGAGAGAGAGAGAAGAGGAGGGAGAGGTGTAGAGGGAAAGGGAGAGAAAGAGAGAGGAGAGACGAGAGAAGAGAAGAGAGAGACGAGAGAAGAGAAGAGAGAGATGAGAGAAGAGAGAAACGAGAGAAGAGATGAGAAGAGAAGATAAAGAGAGAAGAGAAGAGGATAGGGAGAGGAGAGGGAGAGGAGAAGAGAGGAGAGGAGGAGAGGTCTGAGCAGAGCCCCAGATCAGATGAATGTGTAGACCTAGGTCTGCATAGAAGGGTGAACAAATACAAATATGTGAATTAGAAGCTGATCATTAATGAATAAAAGTCATCATTTTATTTATCAAAATGCAATACAAACATCTCAGTATCACTTACATGGAAATATTTTTCATTTCAATTATAAAACAAACTCATAACAACACTTGTAATAAAAGTAAACATCTCACAGAAATTCCTATTGGCCACCAATGATTAGATTGTTGTTTTGCCCCATGATATTATTTGACGTATATCGCTGGAATGCACACTGAAGAGCAATCTGCTGAAGGGCTAAATCAGCAATGATCCAGCCTACACCCCAATGGTACAATGATGAGATCACAAGAATCTCTGTCCAAACCATGAGATCCCACAATCCGTATTGGATCTCGGTGACTGGTGTGAGCTTGTGTTTATTGTTGCGTTAGACATTTGTAGTGTTTTATTTATATACACGGTCCCCCTTGTGCTGCTTTCATTCTGGTTTTATTCTCCTATACAAGTCACATGGAATGCAGCATGACTGGATCCCCAACACATCTAAAAGGTGAGATATTTTCCCGACAGCTGTGTTGAACCTCCTCCCTAGTCTGACACCCGTGTACATTGCCTCTTACATTACACCTGTCATGTGCACATAAATAACCCTCAGCTGCATACCCGGCACCCTCCTGTCCTTCACCTTCAGATTCACATCCTGTGTGGCCCTAAAACACTTGAAGGCTTTTTTTGTCACTCTGAGAATGGGGTCCTACATGGCCCCGAAGATTTTGTTTAAACTTTTTTATATTTTACATCATGGCCTCATGAAAATATTGAGGTGTATGTGATGCAATGGCTTTTTCCTATCGAGCTACAATATGGTATCATGGTAAGCTGGGCGACATTTATCTAGTGGTGACAAGGGCATGGTGCTGGATGGGTTGGACTTTTACAAGCTTCTTGTCTGGCACCCTGCCAAAGGGGACCCGAGTGATACTGAAAATTTGGTGGAACATGCTTTTTCAACTTACTTTTTGTATCATGACCTCATTAAAATATTAAGGTTCATTTTGTGTGTTTTCCTAACTGATATTCTGAACTGGCATGATAACCCCACCGATTCCCAAGGATTCTTTGCAAATTTGCTTTATGGCCAAAACTTTGTTGATATTTTCATCTTGCCTACTACTTGGCCAAAAGTATAAGCACCCCTTCAAATGATGGAGTTCAGGTGTTTCCAGTGCGGGGTCCTGGTAATACTCTATCATACAAAGTCATTGTAGACAATTGTGCTCTTACAACCTTGAGGTAACAGTTTGGTGAATACTTTTTTTCTGTTCCACCATGACTGTGACCCTCTGTACAAAGTCAGCTCCATGAAGACATGGTTTTACCTGTTTGGTGTGGAGGAACTGGAGTGGCCTCAGAGCTCTGACCTCAACCCTTCTGAACACTTTTGGGATGAATCAGAGACCCAATGGTGAGCCAGGTCTTCTCATCCAACATCAGTCCTATATTTGAAGACTCATGATTAAAGAACCCTACCAATAACAGATACACTACAGTATATGGCCCAAAGAAGACAGACACCCCTCCAAATGATGGAGTTCAGGTGTTTCCAGTGCGGGGTCCTGGTAATACTCCATCATACAAAGACATTGTAGACAACTGTGCTCATCCAACCTTGAGGTAACAGTTTGGTGAATATTCTTTTCTATTCCCCCATTGGCTGTGCCCCTGTGTACAAAGCCAGCTCCATAAAGACATGGTTTGACTAGTTTGGTGTGGAGGAACCCAGGTGTCCTGCGCAGACCCCTACTGAACATCTTTGGGATGAATTTGGATTGTTAGCTCTGTCTTCTCAACCAGCACCAGTACCTGACCTCACAAATTCCCACAGACACATTTCAAATCTTGTGGAAAGTCCTTCCAGAAGTGTGGAGGCTGTTATAGCCACAAAGAGGGAAAGGGGTGGGGGGCAACTCAAAGCTAGCTCCATAAAGACGTGGCTTGACCAGTTTAGTGTGGATGACCTCGAGTGTCCAGCCCAGAGCCCTGACCTCAGCCCTACTGAACACCTTTGGGATGAATTGGAATGCCAATGGTGAGTCAGGTCTTCTCAGCCAATATCTGTGCAGGTCAGGTACTGATAGTGGATGAGAAGACCTGGCTCACCACTGGCATTCCAATTCATCCCAAAGGTGTTCGGTAGGGCTGAGCTCAGGGCTCTGTGCTGGACACTCGAGTTCCTCCACACCACACTGGTCAAATCATGTCATTATAGAGTTTCCTCCTTTTGTGTCTATAACATCCTCCAATCTTCTAGAGGATGTCTGTGCAATTTTGTGACCATTTGTGAGGTCAGGTACTGACACCCTCTAGAAGAGTGGAGGATGTTATAGACACAAAAGGAGGCAACTCTATAATGACATGATTTGACCAGTTTGGTGTGGAGGAACTTGAGTGTCCTGCAGAAAGCCCTGACCTCATCCTACTGAACAACTTTGGGATGAATCGGAACTCTACTTGAGAGCCAGGTCTTCTCATCCTACATCAGTACCTGACCTCATGAATGGGTACAAATGCCCCAAAACATCCTCTACAATCTTGTGGAATGCCTTCCCAGAAAAGTGGAGGATGGTAAAGATGCAAAGGGGACAACTCCATATTAATGGCCATGATTCTGGAATGAGATGTCCAACAAGCTCATAGAGGTGCGATGGTCAGGTGTCTACAAGCCATATAAAGTATCTGTTAAGTGTTGGGTGACTATCAATAAAGACTTTAACCAACACCAAAAAAAAAAAAAAAAGCTGTGGAAAAAATGTATGGGAAGGGTGGGAGCCGCCCAGATTCCTCCGCCTGCACACATTCCAACCAACACAGTGGAGAAAATTGGGAAATACTGTATAAAAATATGAAGGATGAAGAGCATGAGTTTAACTAAGGAGTAAACATGGGGGGATGGGTAGAAACAAAAGATGTGTTTTTATATGATCACGAGGATGAATTTACTTTTGCAGCAAAAAAACAAATTTGTTTTTGGCCATGGGACCTTATTTACTGAGTCCCGAGGATTAAATGATTGATGTCACTATTTATAGCAACATTGATTCAACATTTGTCTGATCTGTTCATTACTAAAGATCCTACAAGGATATTATTACTCTTTTAGATATTTCAGCCAAATTTAAAGCTGATCTCCTGACAGAAATGTTTAATCTGTATTCTAAAAGTCCCTTCTTGCCTACCAAATAGGTTCTTAATTTTGCAGTAACAGCAGCAGCCAGACCATTCCCTACTGAATGCAGCATTTCCAGGGCTCAGTGTACCGAATATACGATTTGTAAGACCCGTAGTAACTGTGCCCATTCATTCCCCGAGTCAGCAGTTGTGCCATTAAACCATTGCTCCTTGTAGTGGGAGGACCCCGGGATCTCAGACGACCCATCTGTCCCATCCACTCCCACTGCCTAACTTGACTGATGGGCCTGGAGACTCCTGGTATTTCCCATCCACCATGACATCAAACCTTGACTAACAAGCCAGGAGATATCTTGTCTGTCCCATCACCCATGACATCATTCCTTGACTGACATGTCAGGAAACTCCTGATCTGTCCTGCCAACCATAACATAATACCTTGGCTGATAAACCAGGAGATTCTCGGTCTATCCCTCCCACCATGGCATCATACGTTGACTGACAGGCTAGGAGATACCTTGTCTTTCTCACCCACCATAACATCATACCTTGGCTGACAAGCCAGGAGATATCTTGTCTGTCCCATCACCCATGACATTATTCCTTGACTGACATGCCTGAAAACTCCTGATCTGTCCTGCCTACCATAACATCATATATTGGCTGATAAGCCAGGAGATTCTTGGTCTGTCCCTCCCACCATGACATCATACCTTGGCTGACAGGTCAGGAGAATCCTCGTATGTCCTGCTCACCATGACATCATACCTTGACTGACAGGCTAGGAGACTTCTGGTCTGTACTGCCCACCATGAGATTAAAAATTGACTGGAAAGCCAGGGGACTCCTAGTCTTTCCTGCCCACCATGACATATCTTGACTGAAAGGCAAGAGGACTCCTTATCTATCTTGTCCACCATGACCTAATACATTGAATGATAAGCCAGGGAGACTCCTTGTCTGTCCCACTCACCATGACATCATAGCTCAACTGAGAGGACAGGAGTCTCCTGGTTTGTCCCACCCACCATAAAATCATACTTTGAATGACAAACCAGGAGACTACTAGTCTATCCTACATACCATAACATCATACTTTGACTGGCAGGCCAGGAGAGTTCTAGTCTGTGCTGCCCTCCGTGAGATCAAAAATTCACTGGCAAGACAGGGGACTCTTGGGATGTCCTGCCCACCATGACATCATAAATTTATTGACAGGCCAGGGGATTCCTTGTCTTTCCCACCACACCATGACATCATAGCTTGACTGACAGGGCAGAAGACTACTTGTTTGTCCCACCCACCATGAAATCATACTTTGAATGACAAACCAGGAGACGCCTAGTCTGCCCTGTCCATGACATCATACCTTGACTGACAGGCCAGGAGACCTCTGGTCTATGCTGCCAACCAAGAGATTAAAAATTGGCAAGCCAGGAGACTCTAGTGATGTCCTGCCCACCATGACATCATACCTTGACTGATCGGCAAGAAGATTTATGGTCTGTCCCACCCACTGTGACATCATACCTTGGTTGGCAGACCAGGAGACTCTTTTTTGGTCCTTTCCACCATGACATCAGACCTTGATTGACAGGCGAGGCAATCCCTGGTCTGTTACATTCCCCCCCCCTCCCCCATTGCATGATGGGAATTGTAATTTGATACCGAATTGTTGAACAGGAGAAGAGAGTTTGTGTTGTTGCTTCATTGACCCTCCTCCCAATACCCAGCTGCCTTCTCCCTTGTAAAGTGATGACATCACACACATTCAAAAGGTACTTTTTACAAAGAACAATACAGGTGAAACTCGAACAATTAGAATATGGTGCAAAAGTTGATTGATTTCAGTGCAGCAACTTAAAAGGTGACACTAATATATGAGACTCATTCCATGCAAAGCAAGATAGTTCAAGCCGTGATTTGTCATCATTGTGATGATTATGGATTACAGCTCATGAAAACCCCAAATCCACAATCTCAGAAAATGAGAATATTCCATGCAATCAATAAAACACGGATTGTACATAGAACAATATCGCACCTCTGAAAAGTAGAAGCTGCATATGTACTCAGTACTTGGTTGGGGCCCCTTTTGCAGCAATTACTGCCTCAATGCGGCGTGGCATGGAAGCTATCAGCCTGTGGCACTGCTGAGGTGTTATGGAAGACCAGGATGCTTCAATAGCGGCCTTCAGCTCTTCTGCATTGTTCGGTCTCATGTCTATCATCTTTCTCTTGGCAATGCCCCATAGATTCTCTATGGGGTTCAGGTCAGGCGAGTTTTGCTGGCCAATCAAGCACAGTAATCCCACGGTCATTGAACCAGGTTTTGGTGCTTTTGGCAGTGTGGGCGGAGCCAAGTCCTGCTGGAAAATGAAGTCAGCATCCCCATAAAGCTCGTCTGTGGAAGGAAGCATGAAGTGCTCCAAAATCTCCTGGTAGACGGCTGCGGTGACCCTGGGCTTAATGAAGCACAGTGGACCAACACCAGCAGATGACATGGCTCCCCAAATCAACACAGACTGTGGAAACTTCACACTGGACTTCATCTTGCAGTGTGTGCCTCTCCATTCTTCCTCCATACTCGGGGTCCTTGGGCCTCTCCATTCTTCCTCCATACTCGGGGTCCTTGGGCCTCTCCATTCTTCCTCCATACTCGGGGTCCTTGGGCCTCTCCATTCTTCCTCCATACTCGGGGTCCTTGGGCCTCTCCATTCTTCCTCCATACTCGGGGTCCTTGGGCCTCTCCATTCTTCCTCCATACTCGGGGTCCTTGGGCCTCTCCATTCTTCTTCCTCCATACTCTGGGTCCTTGGGCCTCTCCATTCTTCCTCCATACTCGGGGTCCTTGGGCCTCTCCATTCTTCCTCCATACTCGGGGTCCTTGGGCCTCTCCATTCTTCCTCCATACTCGGGGTCCTTGGGCCTCTCCATTCTTCCTCCATACTCGGGGGTCCTTGGGCCTCTCCATTCTTCCTCCATACTCTGGGTCCTTGGGCCCCTCCATTCTTCCTCCATACTCGGGGTCCTTGTGCCTCTCCATTCTTCCTCCATACTCGGGGTCCTTGTTCCTCTCCATTCTTCCTCCATAATTGGGGTCCTTGTGCCTCTCCATTCTTCCTCCATACTCGTGGTCCTTGGGCCCCTCCATTCTTCCTCCATACTCTGGGTCCTTGGGCCTCTCCATTCTTCCTCCATGCTCGGGGTCCTTGGGCCTCTCCATTCTTCCTCCATGCTCGGGGTCCTTGGGCCTCTCCATTCTTCCTCCATACTCGGGGTCCTTGGGCCTCTCCATTCTTCCTCCATACTCGGGGTCCTTGGGCCTCTCCATTCTTCCTCCATACTCAGGGTCCTTGGGCCTCTCCATTCTTCCTCCATACTCGGGGTCCTTGGGCCTCTCCATTCTTCCTCCATACTCGGGGTCCTTGGGCCTCTCCATTCTTCCTCCATACTCGGGTCCTTGGGCCTCTCCATTCTTCCTCCATACTCGGGGTCCTTGGGCCTCTCCATTTTTCCTCCATACTCGGGGTCCTTGGGCCTCTCCATTCTTCCTCCATACTCGGGGTCCTTGGCCTCTCCATTCTTCCTCCATACTCGGGGTCCTTGGGCCTCTCCATTCTTCCTCCATACTCTGGGTCCTTGGGCTCCTCCATTCTTCCTCCATACTCGGGGTCCTTGGGCCTCTCCATTCTTCCTCAATACTCGGGGTCCTTGGGCCTCACCATTCTTCCTCCATACTCGGGGTCCTTGTGCCTCTCCATTCTTCCTCCATACTCGGGGTCCTTGTGCCTCTCCATTCTTCCTCCATACTCGGGGTCCTTGTGCCTCTCCATTCTTCCTCCATACTCGGGGTCCTTGTGCCTCTCCATTCTTCCTCCATACTCGGGGTCCTTGTGCCTCTCCATTCTTCCTCCATACTCTGGGTCCTTGTGCCTCTCCATTCTTCCTCCATACTCGGGGTCCTTGTGCCTCTCCATTCTTCCTCCATACTCGGGGTCCTTGGGCCTCTCCATTCTTCCTCCATACTCGGGGTCCTTGGGCCTCTCCATTCTTCCTCCATACTCGGGGTCCTTGGTTTCCAAATGAGATGCAAAAGTTGCTCTCATCAGAAAAGAGGACTTTGGACCACTGAGGACAGGCCAGGTCTGTTTTTCTTTAGCCCAGGTAAGACACTTCTGATGTTGTTTGTTGTTCAGGAGCGGCTTGACAAGAGGAATACAACATTTGAAGCCCATGTCCAGGATCCATCTGTGTGTGGTGGCTCTTGATGCACTGACTCCAGCCTCAGTCCACTCCTTGTGAAAGTCCCCAACACTTTTGAATGGCCTTTTCCTGACAATCCTCTCCAGGCTGCGGTCATCCCTGCTACTTTTGCACCTTTTTCTTCCACACTTTTCCCTTCCACATAACTTTCTATTAATGTGCTTTGATACAGCACTTTGGGAACATCCAACTTCTTCTGCAATTCCCTTTTGAGGCTTTCCCTCCTTATGGAGGGTGTCAGTGATGGTGTCAGGTCAGCAGTCTTTCCCATGATTGGGATTCCTACTGAACCAGACTGAGAGACCATTTAAAGGCTCAGGAACCCTTTGCAGGTGTGATGGCTGAATGAGCTGATTAGAGTGGGACACTTTGAGCCGAGATTATTCCACCCTTTCACAAGATTCTCATTTTCTGAGATTGTGGATTTGGGGTTTTCATGAGCTGTAAGCCATAATCATCACAATGATGACAAATCACGGCTGGAACTATCTTGCTTTGCATGGAATGAGTCTCATATATTAGTTTCACCTTTTAAGTTGCTGCACTGAAATAAATCAACTTTTGCACGAAATTCTCATTTTTTCAGTTTCACCTGTATGTCAAATAAAAAAATGTAAATTTTGAATGTGGAGGAGAAGAAACAATGGAGAGATTTAGGAACTCTCCCGGAGTTCAGCTTTAGGGACACATCTTCAATAGACAGTTTGTAGTCCACCTTGGAGGCCATAGCAAAGGGTTGTCACCCTAGGAAGGAAGTGGCTGTGGATACACCTTGCTGGTAGGATCCCCGGAATCTTTTTACTTCAAAACCAGAATTAAACTTTTTGAAAGACCCTAAAAAACGTACAAGAACATATTTTGTTTGGGGGGGCAGGGCCTTGTCTCACCTGGAAGTTAACGTCTCCACAGCAGCTGGACATCAAACACGGCCCGACCACCTTCAACACCGGCTCCCGACTCTCCGTCATGAGCGAGTATTTGGGGACGAACGGGTGCCACGTCTGGACTACGTAACCGATGGTCTGACCCGGGGGGCATTGGACCTCCAACTGCGTGACAACAGACAGAATGGTGTCACCAACGCTGGAAGAGTCATGGAGGACCCAAGAAATGAGTATACTACACGGTATCTATAGAGAGGTGAATATGACTGTACAGGGAGATCATGTTCTGAGTCCTCCGTCTCACCTCCTGTAGGCAGCAAGGGAAGCAGCAGCTGGAACACTTGAGGGGGCGGACGAAATGGATGACCTCCCGCCCCGTGTAGTCACAGACGTGCAGAGTGAGGGGGCGGAGGGAGCCGCAGCAGCAACGTGCGCACACTGTGCTCCTCTCCTGCACGGAGAATATCCGCTGACCCATTATATTCCGCAACTCGTACTGATTGCAGGTCTCGAAGCCCGTGATCGCTGCAAGGCAACCAGGAGGAAATCATTAATGGACGCCAACTTTTTTTTTTTATTTATCATCTGGTACATATTTTAATAGAAATCCAGAAAAATAAAAAATTTTGACCCCCCCTAGAAAAACATCACCACCAACCAGCACCCTCCTACAATAGGCAACGAGGAGGAAATCATTAATGGAAGCCGCCTTTTTTTTAAATTTATCATCTGGTACATATTTTAATAGAAATCCGGAAAAATAAAAATTTGTGACCCCCCCCCTATAAAAACATCACCACCAACCAGCACCCTCTCTAATATAGGCAACAAGGAGAAAAAATGTGTGCCCCCCCCCCAGCACCCTCATAATATAGGCATCAAGGAGAAAAAAAATTGTGACCCCCCCTAGAAAAACATCACCACCAACCAGCAGCCTCTTAATATAGGCAACAAGGAGAAAACATTTGTGACCCCCCCCCCCCCCCTAGAAAAACATCACCACCAACCAGCACCCTCCTAATATAGGCAACAAAGAGGAAATCATTAATGGACACCTTCCTTTTCTTTTTTTTTTCTTTTTTATCATCTGGTACATATTTTAATAGAAATCCAGAAAAATAAAAATTTGTGACCCCCCTCCCCCAGAAAAACATCACCACCAACCAGCATCCTCTTAATATAGGCAACAAGGAGAAAAAATTTGTGACCCCCCCCTAGAAAAACATCACCACCAACCAGCACCCTCTTAATATAGGCAACAAAGAGAAAAAATTTGTGACCCCCCCCCCCCTAGAAAAACTTCACCACCAACCAGCATCCTCTTAATATAGGCAACAAAGAGAAAAAATTTGTGACCCCCCCCCTAGAAAAACTTCACCACCAACCAGCATCCTCTTAATATAGGCAACGAGGAGGAAACATTTGTGACCCCCCCTAGAAAAACATCATCACCAACCAGCATCCTCTTAATATAGGCATCAAGGAGAAAAAAAATTGTGACCCCCCCCCCCCCCCCCCCCCCTAGAAAAACATCACCACCAACCAGCACCCTCCTAATTTAGGCAACGAGGAGGAAATCATTAATGGACACCTTCCTTTTCTTTTTTTTTTCTTTTTTTTATCATCTGGTACATATTTTAATAGAAATCCGGGAAAATAAAAATTTGTGACCCCCCCCCCCCCCAGAAAAACATCACCACCAACCAGCATCCTCTTAATATAGGCAACAAAGAGAAAAAATGTGTGCCCCCCCCCCCCCCCCCCCCACCGTAGAGAAACATCACCACCAACCAGCACCCTCCTAATATAGGCATCAAGGAGAAAAAAAAATTGTGACCCCCCCCAGAAAAACATCACCACCAACCAGCATCCTCTTAATATAGGCAACAAGGAGAAAAAATTTGTGACCCCCCCCCTAGAAAAACATCACCACCAACCAGCAGCCTCTTAATATAGGCAACAAGGAGAAAACATTTGTGACCCCCCCCCCCCCCTAGAAAAACATCACCACCAACCAGCACCCTCCTAATATAGGCAACAAGGAGGAAATCATTAATGGACACCTTCCTTTTCTTTTTTTTTTTTTCTTTTTTATCATCTGGTACATATTTTAATAGAAATCCGGAAAAATAAAAATTTGTGACCCCCCTCCCCCAGAAAAACATCACCACCAACCAGCATCCTCTTAATATAGGCAACAAGGAGAAAAAATTTGTGACCCCCCCCCCCTAGAAAAACATCACCACCAACCAGCACCCTCTTAATATAGGCAACAAAGAGAAAAAAAATTGTGACCCCCCCCCCCCCTAGAAAAACTTCACCACCAACCAGCATCCTCTTAATATAGGCAACAAAGAAAAAAAATTGTGACACCCCCCCCCCCCCCCCCCTAGAAAAACTTCACCACCAACCAGCATCCTCTTAATATAGGCATCAAGGAGAAAAAAAATTGTGACCCCCCCTAGAAAAACATCACCACCAACCAGCATCCTCTTAATATAGGCAACAAAGAGAAAAAATTTGTGACCCCCCTAGAAAAACTTCACCACCAACCAGCATCCTCTTAATATAGGCAACGAGGAGGAAACATTTGTGACCCCCCCTAGAAAAACATCACCACCAACCAGCACCCTCTTAATAAAGGCAACAAAGAGAAAAAATTTGTGACCCCCCCCCCTAGAAAAACATCATCACCAACCAGCACCCTCTTAATATAGGCATCAAGGAGAAAAAAATTGTGACCCCCCCCTAGAAAAACATCACCACCAACCAGCACCCTCCTAATTTAGGCAACGAGGAGGAAATCATTAATGGACACCTTCCTTTTCTTTTTTTTTTCTTTTTATCATCTGGTACATATTTTAATAGAAATCCGGAAAAATAAAAATTTGTGACCCCCCTCCCCCAGAAAAACATCACCACCAACCAGCATCCTCTTAATATAGGCAACAAGGAGAAAAAATTTGTGACCCCCCTTAGAAAAACATCACCACCAACCAGCACCCTCCTAATATAGGCAACAAGCAGGAAATCATTAAAGGACGCCGCCTTTTTGTAAAAAAATGTATCATCTGGTACATATTTTAATAGAAATCTGTAAAAATAAAAATGTGTGAACCCCCCCCCCCCCCCCTAGAAAAACATCCCCACCAACCAGCACCCTCCTACAATAGACAGAGATACGATGAAAAAGATATTGTTACAATTAAACTAATAATCATCAACAAACTATCAAGTATACAATATACTGTATTTTGTTGCAATGAAACTTCATAAAAATAATCAAAGTAACAAAAAAAAAAAAAAAAACTCCATTGTATATTTTATATTCATTAGAACCAATTTTAATTTCTACAGGTCCAGCATTATCACTTGTACATCAGACTAAAAATCTGCCTGAGGGGTGTATTCCAAATTGTTCGTCCTTCTGAAACTGCACATACGAAGATATGTTCTCTCCAGGTTGAATATTATTCATTCATTTACAAAAAATGAGCAGTTTTGGAAAATACCACACAATGGCCACTAGATGGAGCCAGCAATGAGTAAATACCTGTGTATGACGCTCCATCTGAGGCCACAATATGGTGTTTTCCTGATTCACTGTGTTCTGTGTGAATGAAGAACATCTGACCTGGAGGGGAAATAGCCCAATAACATGGGATTGCGCCCCCATGTGCTCAGAACAGGATTTACAGGCATTTTACCAGGACGAGTGGCTCCGCTCTGAGATTTTGTAATAAATGTGCAATTGTTGCAGCGTCAGGCGAGGAATGGGCAAAATCTATATATTACATACAATGTCTGTGGAAGGGATGACACATGGGTGGTCATGTGTGCGGGGGTTAAAGACCGCCATCTTTCCTGCTACACGTCTGTGTTCTGTGTGCGTCATCAGGATAATATGCGACAATCAATGTCTGACAACCCTTGTATGTGGAAATCTGATGAAATAGTTCTACACAGAGGGGACACATGGGGGGTGTATGGAGGGTACATGGAGGTATGTTTGTATGGATTGTGCTCAATTATTCCAATGTGTATTATTATTATTACTTTTCTATATGTTATTGTTTGTTTATTATTACAATCATAGATTACTATTCTATATATTATTGTTTGTTTATTATTACAATCCTAGATTACTATTCTATATATTATTGTTTGTTTATTATTACAATCATAGATTACTATTCTATATATTATTGTTTGTTTATTATTACAATCATAGATTACTATTCTATATATTATTGTTTTTGTTTATTATTACAATCATAGATTACTATTCTATATGTTATTGTTTGTTTATTATTACAATCATAGATTAGTATTCTATATATTATTGTTTGTTTATTATTACAATCATAGATTACTATTCTATATGTTATTGTTTTTGTTTATTATTACAATGATAGATTACTATTCTATATGTTATTGTTTTTGTTTATTATTACAATCCTAGATTACTATTCTATATATTATTGTTTGTTTATTATTACAATGATAGATTACTATTCTATATGTTATTGTTTTTGTTTATTATTACAATCCTAGATTACTATTCTATATGTTATTGTTTGTTTATTATTACAATCATAGATTACTATTCTATATATTATTGTTTGTTTATTATTACAATGATAGATTACTATTCTATATGTTATTGTTTTTGTTTATTATTACAATCATAGATTACTATTCTATATGTTATTGTTTTTGTTTATTATTACAATCCTAGATTACTATTCTATATATTATTGTTTGTTTATTATTACAATCATAGATTACTATTCTATATATTATTGTTTGTTTATTATTACAATCATAGATTACTATTCTATATATTATTGTTTTTGTTTATTATTACAATCATAGATTACTATTCTATATATTATTGTTTGTTTATTATTACAATCATAGATTACTATTCTATATATTATTGTTTGTTTATTATTACAATCATAGATTACTATTCTATATATTATTGTTTTTGTTTATTATTACAATCATAGATTACTATTCTATATATTATTGTTTTTGTTTATTATTACAATCATAGATTACTATTCTATATATTATTGTTTGTTTATTATTACAATCATAGATTACTATTCTATATATTATTGTTTGTTTATTATTACAATCATAGATTACTATTCTATATGTTATTGTTTTTGTTTATTATTACAATCATAGATTACTATTCTATATATTATATTTATTATTAAAGATTATTTTATTATTATTATACACACATTTGGGAATCTGATGAAGATTGATACTTTGTGATGATGTTTTTGTACATTTTTCTGAACTGGGGATACACTCGGAGGTCGACTTATAACAAAACTAGTGGAAGAACATCTCAAGCATTCGCCCAGCCGTGACAAAGCCGTGTTTTATTTAATATGTGCATTTCCTTTGATCAGCAGCTCCATCTGGTGGCCACAAGGCAGTATGGAACTGGCTGAGATATTTCAGAAGACACAACTCACAGTGGCCACTAGAGGGAGCTGCTGATCATAGGAAATGGCCCCCCTCGGAGGTTCTGGTCATTATTTCCATGTACATTTGTACCTAAGCACAAGGATCTGTATATATATATATATATTCCTGCCCCTCCCCCCTCCTGTATACTCGGGGTGCCGGTCCCCTTCCCTCACCTTCTAGAAGTTCCGTCTTCTGGTGGATGAGGATTTGGTCTATCTGGAGGACGAGAAAAGGAAAAGATCAGAAAACGGGGTCATGTGACATTGGGCGCACCCCCCCCCCGTCATCCATGTACATTGTATCCATAACACAGCACAGGGAAACAATGTTACCACATCTGATAGTGGGAGACTGTGTGGGGGAGGGGCATTAGAGTGTCAGCTCCTCTGGTGTAGAGACTGATGTGACTGTGGGGGAGGGGACATTAGAGTGTCAGCTCCTCTGGTGTAGAGACTGATGTGACTGGGGGGGAGGGGACATTAGAGTGTAAGCTTCTCTGGTACAGAGACTGATGTGACTGCGGGGGAGGGGACATTAGAGTGTAAGCTCCTCTGGTGTAGAGACTGATGGGACTGTGGGGGAGGGGACATTAGAGTGTAAGCTCCTCTGGTGTAGAGACTGATGGGACTGTGGGGGAGGGGACATTAGAGTGTAAGCTGCTCTGGTGTAGAGACTGATGGGACTGTGGGGGAGGGGACATTAGAGTGTAAGCTCCTCTGGTGTAGAGACTGATGGGACTGTGGGGGAGGGGACATTAGAGTGTCAGCTCCTCTGGTGTAGAGACTGATGGGACTGTGGGGGAGGGGGACATTAGAGCATAAGCTCCTCTGGTACAGAGACTGATGGGACTGTGGGAGAGGGGACATTAGAGTGTCAGCTCCTCTGGTACAGACACTGATGTGACTGTGGGGGAGGGGACATTAGAGCGTAAGCTCCTCTGGTACAGAGACTGATGTGACTGTGGGGGAGGGGAACATTAGAGCGTAAGCTCCTCTGGTACAGAGACTGATGGGACTGTGGGGGAGGGGACATTAGAGCGTAAGCTCTTCTGGTATAGAGACTGATGGGACTGTGGGGGAGGGGACATTAGAGTGTAAGCTCCTCTGGTACAGAGACTGATGGGACTGTGGGGGAGGGGACATTAGAGCGTAAGCTCTTCTGGTATAGAGACTGATGGGACTGTGGGGGAGGGGACATTAGAGTGTAAGCTCCTCTGGTACAGACACTATTGTGACTGTGGGGGAGGGGACATTAGAGTGTAAACTCCTCTGGTACAGAGACTGATGGGACTGCGGGGGAGGGGACATTAGCGTGTAAGCTCCTCTGTACAGCGTCTATGTCAGAGCTATATGATACAAGTCATTGTGATGTGTACACACAGTAGATACAAGTACGGGGAGTAGATGATGTTTATTCTGGTCTGGAATTGTTGGAGTCGCCCAGACGCGGTGCGCTCAGGTTCCGTGTGTACGGTGTCAGTCAGGTTCGGTGTCAGTCAGGTTCGGCTGGTTCTGTGTTGGATGTGCAGAGTTCAGTCCTCCTCCACATTGCTTGGCTGGGTGTCAGAAATAGCTGAAAGTCCTGCAGTCTGTGGAATCCCTTCCCCACCCCCAATACACACACTGTACACAGCTATGACACCAACATAGGAGGGGGCGCAGGAGGAAGTGACATCTGTCTCTACTTATAACACAGTGACACCATGTAACACCCAGCCCAGGACATCCCCTCCCCCGTCCTGTGAGAGAGAACACAACCCTCTGCTCCCAACACCTAGAGGATGTTGTCTGGGTTACATTATATGTGTAATAGAAGTATAAATAATAAATATAATGAGAGTGCAATAACTGCCAACAATACATGAATACAAATATTATTACTTATTATTATTATTATTATTTATTGTGAATAATAATAATAATAGATTCTGGAATAATAATAATAATAATAATAATAATAATAATAATAATAATAATAATAATAATAACAATAATGATAATAATAATAACAATAATGATAATAATAATAATGATAATAATAATAATAATAATAACAATAATGATAATAATAATAATAATAATGATAATAATAATAATAATAATAATAATAATAATAATAACAATAATAATAATAATAATAATAATGATAATAATAATAATAATAATAATAATAATAATAATGATAATAATAATAACAATAATAATAATAATAATAATAATAATGATAATAAATAATAATGATAATAATGATAATAATAATGATAATAATAATAATAATAATAATAATAATAATAATAACAATAATGATAATAATAATAATAATGATGATGATATTAGTAGATTATTGTGTAACAAGAAGTAATGACAATTTGCTGGTACAATACAGTGAGAAGGATTAGTGAAGCCGCATTGATTCATCACCAACCTGGAGGACAAATCCCCGACACACAGGGACATATAAATGTGACTTCCTCCACACATTCACCGAGGGTGAATCAGTCGCTGTCATTTTTAAAGTGATTATAATGGTGTTCGTTTCTTTAAAGTGGATGGAAAGCTAAAAAGGCTTTTTCTTCCTTAATGCATTCTATGAAGTAAAAAAACAAGCTGCTCCGCCCCCCCACCCCCTTATACTTACCTGACCTTGACCACAATCCAGCGAGGAGCTTTCCCTGCTCTCTCTCTCTCCTCATTGGCTCAGAGACAGCAGTGTGAGGTATTGGCTCCCACTGATATCAAATACAGCCAGTGAAGGGAGGCGGGGGGCTGGACACTCAAAGCAGTGGCTCAGGAGCGAGCGTACATGAGTGTCCCCATAACAAGAAGATATTTACAATACCATACAATACTCTGCTCCGTGTCTTCGCTAAAAAAAATCCCAATCCGTGTAAATTAATTGGTTTACATGAAAGTTATAGCGTCTACAAATGGTGGGATATACAGAGCATCCAGAAAGTATTCCCGGTATACACAATGTATCCAGAAAGTATTCCCGGTATATACAGAGCATCCAGAAAGTATTCCCGGTGTATACAGAGCATCCAGAAAGTATTCCCGGTATATACAGAGCATCCCAGAAAGTATTCCCGGTATATACAGAGCATCCAGAAAGTATTCCTGGTATATACAGAGCATCTGGAAAGTATTCCCGGTATATACAGAGCATCCAGAAAGTATTCCCGGTATATACAGAGCATCCAGAAAGTATTCCCGATATACACAGAGCATCCAGAAAGTATTCCCGGTATACACAATGTATCCAGAAAGTATTCCCGGTATATATACAGCGCATCCAGAAAGTATTCCCGGTGTATACAGAGCATCCAGAAAGTATTCCCGGTATATACAGAGCATCCAGAAAGTATTCCCGGTATATACAGAGCATCCAGAAAGTATTCCCGGTATATACAATGTATCCAGAAAGTATTCCCGGTATATACAATGTATCCAGAAAGTATTCCCGGTATATACAGAGCATCCAGAAAGTATTCCCGGTATATACAGAGCATCCAGAAAGTATTCCCGGTATATACAGAGCATCCAGAAAGTATTCCCGGTATATACAGAGCATCCAGAAAGTATTCCCGGTATATACAGAGCATCCAGAAAGTATTCCCGGTGTATACAGAGCATCCAGAAAGTATTCCCGGTGTATACAGAGCATCCAGAAAGTATTCCTGGTATATACAGAGCATCCAGAAAGTATTCCCGGTATATACAGAGCATCCAGAAAGTATTCCCGTTATATACAATGTATCCAGAAAGTATTCCCGGTATATACAGAGCATCCAGAAAGTATTCCCGGTATATACAGAGCATCCAGAAAGTATTCCCGATATACACAGAGCATCCAGAAAGTATTCCCGGTATACACAATGTATCCAGAAAGTATTCCGGTATATACAGAGCATCCAGAAAGTATTCCCGGTGTATACAGAGCATCCAGAAAGTATTCCCGGTATATACAGAGCATCCAGAAAGTATTCCCGGTATATACAGAGCATCCAGAAAGTATTCCCGGTATATACAGAGCATCCAGAAAGTATTCCCGGTATATACAATGTATCCAGAAAGTATTCCCGGTATATACAGAGCATCCAGAAAGTATTCCCGATATATACAGAGCATCCAGAAAGTATTCCCGGTATATACAGAGCATCCAGAAAGTATTCCCGGTATATACAGAGCATCCAGAAAGTATTCCTGCTATATACAATGTATCCAGAAAGTATTCCCGGTATATACAGAGCATCCAGAAAATATTCCCGGTATATACAGAGCATCCAGAAAGTATTCCCGGTATATACAGAGCATCCAGAAAGTATTCCCGGTATATACAGAGCATCCAGAAAGTATTCCCGGTATATACAGAGCATCCAGAAAGTATTCCCGGTATATACAGAGCATCCAGAAAGTATTCCCGGTATATACAAAGCATCCAGAAAGTATTCCCGGTATATACAGAGCATCCAGAAAGTATTCCCGGTATATACAGAGCATCCAGAAAGTATTCCGGTATATACAGAGCATCCAGAAAGTATTCCCGGTATATACAGAGCATCCAGAAAGTATTCCCGGTATATACAGAGCATCCAGAAAGTATTCCCAGTATATACAGAGCATCCAGAAAGTATTCCCGGTATATACAGAGCATCCAGAAAGTATTCCTGGTATATACAGAGCATCCAGAAAGTATTCCCGGTATATACAATGTATCCAGAAAGTATTCCAGGTATATACAGAGCATCCAGAAAGTATTCCCGGTATATACAATGTATTCAGAAAGTATTCCCGGTATATACAGAGCATCCAGAAAGTATTCCCGGTATATAAAAAGCATCCAGAAAGTATTCCCGGTATATACAGAGCATCCAGAAAGTATTCCCGGTATATACAGAGCATCCAGAAAGTATTCCTGCTATATACAATGTATCCAGAAAGTATTCCCGGTATATACAGAACATCCAGAAAGTATTCCCGGTATATACAGAGCATCCAGAAAGTATTCCCGGTATATACAGAGCATCCAGAAAGTATTCCCAGTATATACAGAGCATCCAGAAAGTATTCCTGGTATATACAGAGCATCCAGAAAGTATTCCTGGTATATACAAATCATCCAGAAAGTATTCCCGGTATATGCAGAACATCCAGAAAGTATTCCTGCTATATACAATGTATCCAGAAAGTATTCCCGGTATATACAGAACATCCAGA